AATCTAAAAAAAAGAAAAAAATGAAATATTAACAATTATGAGCTTCCTAATCAATTTTTTAATAGAGTTATTATTTTTTTATTCTAAACAGTCAAGTTATTTCGAAAATTTCTTTTGCAATTTTATTTTTAATGAAATTGTTAAGTTCCTTTGGGTATAAGTTATTAAAAACCTATTAATAAACTTCCAATAGCTTTAATTAAATAAAGTCCCTAATACTACAACCGCTGTAGCCCCATGAAATTTTCGTAAAAAGTAATTGTAAGGAATTCTGATAGTGCTGAAAAATATTTCAAGTAATAAAGTTAGATGATACGTTCTGTATACATATATATATACGTACATAGAATGTTCAGTATAAATAGAATTACGCTGTTCGTTGTACAGATAAATACTAGTAAATGTTAATACATGAACAATCAACCAAAACGACAGCCAAGCGTTGTAAGTGTAGCGCGACACTGAACACCCTATATATTTTGTCTAGTGTATCACTTATACAACAACAAGCGAACGGTTACTTAAATAGACAGTTTGATTTAAACAAACTAAAACGTTTCGACAGGATCAACAACGGATCATTGTTGTACATATTTCTTTTTTTTCTCGATAATATAATACATATATCTATTTCACAAATTTCCGTCCGCCATTACATTGATCCCAGAAACTAATTTGTAAATTTCTACCACTTACGTACAAACTTATTATAGTCACAGCAATGTGTTTAAATTAGGAACGCAAGTGGATCATTCAAAACAACAAAATATTTCTTTGTCGTAACAAAATTTAAAAAATTCTTATGATACAGTAATAAAGAAAGTCGACTTAAGAAAATAAAAAATACGGGCAATTTGAGAAAACGCTTGCTTGGTGCACTCACAACCATAGGATCAAATTCCCTTTTTTTTTAATTTTTCATTAAACAAACACAAAGTTTTTGTAATATGTAAATACATTTTACGTAAAATGGTTTACAGATAGAAGTAAATAAAACTTTACAAAAATATCATTTTCTATAAATATTATAGAAAATGAATAATAATCAGTTTCAAATTCTTTTATTGCAAAAAAAAAAGGAATTTGATTTTGGTTATCACGAACAACAAGCAAAGAAATAGGGAACATTGCTATATTAATCACGTTTTATTTACACTTCTCGTTATTAGATTGAAAACTGGTTTCTTTTTATGTTTCCCATCAATCGATCATACGATAACTTTACATAATCCAACATAGTGTATAAATAACAAAAATCTAGTTTCGCGAAATTAGTAAAAATTATAAGTTATTTTTCTGTGAAACTTAAAGATGAGACCGTGTGTATATATATATATATATATATGTATATGTATAAATATATTAGGCAATAAAAAAGGAATCAATTGTTTTTGGAAAAATATGATTTGTTTTTATGTATTTCGCTCGTCACATATTTGTGAAATAATAGTGAGTTGCTGAAAAGTTCGTGTTTATTGATACTGTAATCGGTGATAAAAGCTACAAAGACAAAAACTAGGGAACATAACAAAAAATAAGCTATACTCCGCTATTAAATAGCGACGACATACTAAAAAAAGAGATTTATGTAGACGAATAATTTATTTTACACACTCACAGATTTGAGCACCTGTATGTTAAATTAAAAATAACTTTGTTTTCTCTTTCTCCACATTACAATTGTACATTTCTGCGATTGTTGTTTTGCTTTGTTTATTTTTTTTTCTTACATTTTTTTCAACTCGTTTCGATATTTCGGTCATTTAACAACATAAAATTGTCACCAATACTAAATTATTCACAATTGTAACAGCGATGTAGTCCATCAGTCTTTCTCTCATTTCAATATCTGTCATGGTTCATTTCTTTATGTCCATTATAATGTATGCGCATGCTTGTGTCTGTGGAGGTTCAACGCACTCTTGAACGGTGCAATATTAAAAAAGCCAAATATTCGTTTATTTTCTATCGCGTATCACGTTTACATCATACACGAATAAAATTACAATTAAGTAGTAAGAGGAAGGGAGCATGTTGGTCCTCTTTTGATATTTGCTGTTATATATATACACTTTTTGTTTATACTCTAAACAGTTGTTAAGTTCTCATGAATGACAAGTAAGTCTGTGAATGACATATAGAAGACTATAAGTTCATAGTAAAGAATATCTACATTGAATGGAAGTATCTGCTTTCTTAATTTACATTATTGTTTAATAAATGGACGTTTTTAATTATTAACATTTGGTTTAGAATCGTGTATTTTGTAAATGACGCGTTTCCATTATTTATCATTGAAACGTATTAACTTGAATTTCAATATAAAGGCACCGTCCACAGACACCGATGATAAAACACGTTTTCATCTAGCTTTCAGTGAGTGCACTCACTTATTCAATAATTTCTTCTAATCTTGCTTTAATCAATGACTTATGTAAAAGTGAACGTGGATCATTACTTGACGTTACTATTACCGGAATAAATTCTTCTAACAATCTGCCGCATATAATCAAGCAATATCAGTGTATAGCATCCTACGTTTTTGTCCCCTTTATGTTCCATAACAGTTATTTTATTTTGATATAAATTATAAACATTTCTTACTACTTGCACACATGCAGTTATTGCATCGAACGTTCATTTTTAAATAAAATTCATCAGATAAATAGGGAGATGTGAAATTAAATATACATATAAAGAATGAAGATGCTTTTACATTTTTCTTCCCTAAAAAATCTTCTTTTTTTTTCTAAGCGAAACATTTTTTGCACAGCAAAATATGCTTTTTTTTATAATTCTGTCAACAGTATCAAATAGTCTTCACCACTCATTCAATCTAGTACAGTAATGGTGATTATGATCTCGAGTTCGAGGTATACTTAGAAGTAACGATACAGTGAGGTAGTAACCTAGCAGGAAAAAAAGATACCTCGCCCAATGCTGTGGAAAGAAGGCCTCTTTTTAAATAAATTCTCTTCTTATACCAGTTTTAGAAGTAGACTTTTCAGATACTGAGCGCCGACCTTGAGATCCGAAGATCTTAGCTGTACAGAACCGGTGAAAGAAGCTCTTTGTTTAGACCTGCTATGTTTACTACCTCACTATATCGTCAGCTCTTAGTATAGGTATAAAGTCGTCTGCGCATATACCTGCTATTATTGCTCCAAAACTACAGCACTGATAAACGGATCCAAAATGTTGATCATTGTGTACAACTTTTCTTCATCACAGGGTATAGTAAATTTAAGTATACCACCCTAAAATAAATTTCATGTATTCACTGTACCTCTTGAAGTCGTTCAGATTTAATTCAAATTCAAATCGAAGAAATCGAATCGTTTCAGAATTATCCATGATATGCGATATCTTCCGTGTTTCTTGCAAAAATTATTTTGATGTTCGATTTTTCTTTCCATTAGATATTAGCACGATAATAATTTACTTACGATGCTACTTAACGTCTAATCATCTCGGTGAGCATCTGAACAAGATGGCGCATGAGGTGACTGCCAACATCGTATACCTCAGGCCACTGATTGAGCACGAACACTATGCCCAATACAACAATCGTTGTCGTTATTATGCGCACCCTGGACATGAAACAATGAGGCTTATTACAGCTGCAACAGAGATGTGAAAACAAAATAAAACAATGAATGAGCAAACATAAGAGTCGAAATGGCATTGTTACGTGACAAAGAATTATGAATCTATGAATAACATGAAAATGATAAAACACCAGCAACGATGATGCGACATGAGTACGTAAAAGATATTAATTATAATTATGAATTCTTAACTTTTATTTAATAATTGTCGTCTCTATTGTTACATTTTATGATCCCGTGATTTAACGATGCGCAATGTCGCGCATTTTAATATATCTTAAATTAACTGGAAAAGAAAAAGATTATTTTATAATAAGAAATAACTATACCTGGTCCTTAGAAAAGGCGTCATTATACCAGCACATGTTGCAACAACAAGTAGTATAACTTGCAACACTGTTAATACTATGTTTATGAGTTTTACATCTAATGCCCTCGCATTGCTATTATCTAAACCTTCAAGAGTGACATACTGTTGGTGTTGTGCCTGTTGATGTTCCATTCTACAAATTTTTGTTTGACAACTCTCCAACATTTCATGTATGTCTCTTAAACGGTCTTCACTTTGGTATTGCACTTTCTCTTCCGTATCCGTAATGGTTTGCTTCAAATTTTCTACTTCATTTTGATGCAACTCCGTTAGATCGTTAATTTGCTCTTCTAGACGCTCGCTTCGGAAACGTTCCTCTTGCAATGCATGGGAAAGAAATGTCACCTCTTGTTGTAAAGTCTAGAATTATTTAATAACGAATATCAATGGTGATATATTAAAATGAATTATGAATCGTTTAACCCACGTGTACTTCTAAAGTGAAAATTCGTCAATTATCTACTTCTAGGTAATACAAAATGTTGTTTTCTTTATAATTCTGTGGTAATCTGATGTATTTATTGAAAATATGAAATCATAATTATTTCTGAAAGCCAAACAAACCTTTAAACCTTCCAATTTTTCCCTCATTCTGTCCAAATTTTCTCTGTACTCTTGTAGCTCCAGGAATATAGATTTAAGACTAAGTCCAGCATTGTTACTGTCGCACGTGTGTGCTTGTCCTCTACTTCCAGGTCCACTTTCACTTGTAACACTAGAACACTCTGAACCTTCTTCTGATGGAAATTTCATTGCTGCTGCGCTATGAGTTGATCCCAAACTACATCCACCGGGAAGCGTAGCAGAGCCATGGTGTGCTTTATCATCTTCAACACTAGCGTTATCTCCATTACCTGCACGCGGTGTATCGTTTACATAAAAAGTCGAGCCATCTGCAGAGACACAGACGTCGCATGTTAGAATGTTATCCAATACTAAATTATTCGCCTTTGTTAACAACTACCGTGTTTAGTTTAATTCTTCGCAATGAAATGTTTTCTTGTTGTCCTATAGAATTGAATAACCTTATAAAGTTATTAGTATCGAAACTATTTAAAATTTGGGTAGAGTTTTTTTTTCTTGTATGTATGTAAATGAGTTCCAAACTCTGATGTTACAAAATAATTTTCCTTGTGTTGTCTCGATTTTTCAAATTACATTCTGAACATGTATTCTGTAGGTGTATTGGATAACTAACATTTTTAGAAAAGCAAAATTTTTAATTTGTGGAAGCCACTAAATATAAAGCAAAATTAGTGAATAACACAAAATCATAATAAAAGGTAATCAAAATATTGTGTTTGTAATATGTAAATTTAATAATCAGGTATAAAAATTGTTCTGTAGATTAAGTATATATGTATACATATATATGTGTGTGTAACTATCTCATTAATTGTTTAGAATAGAAAATTGGTGAGAATATTAAATATGTAATATAAACTAATACAGGTATTGTACATATAATATGGAATAGCATATTTACAATTTATGTAAGGGAAAGGAACATAATAGAATGCAGAGGTACATAGAAGTGAATAGAATAATTGAGCCAAAATGTTACTTACTACTCTCAACTGCCGTGGCAGCGCAAGGAAATTGAATAATATATATATCCATCAATTATCAATAAAAAATTAATTAAGATAAGACTGACATATATTACATTCACAGTGTATATACATATTATATGTACCATATACTTATGATAAATATACATATAATATATTAGTGAACCATTTTCTTTCACGAAGGTACATGATAAATAAATAGAAATGTGCGCATTATTGCTTGTAAAATTGAGATTTGTTAGCATAAAGCACTTGTGCTAATAACAGTGCGGTTGAAAACACAGAAAAGAAATGTATTTAATCAATACATTTGTTAATAAACCGTATTTGTAAGTTAAACAACAGAATAAGAATTTTAATGTATGCAAGTAATACTATTTCAAAGTATAAACAGTTACTTACGTGATAATGTGTTTATGTTGTCGGCACTGCCAAATTTATTTTTTATTAAATGTGCAAATTCCCGTGGCTTTGACATAACAGTCCTAAAACAATCAAATGGAAATGGAATAGTAAGAAATGTCACAAGAGAAAAGGTTAATTCTTTCTCAAAGATTACATGTTTCATATATCATGTTTCAATATCAGTCTACTGACAATTCTGGATACATAGTACTAATATAAAACTATATTAGACGTGAGTACAACACAGCTATTGTAGGTACACTGTCTATCTTCGCTGTAAGTTGCTAATTTTTATGAGCAAATTTGCAATAGCGCACGCGATATGAAGGAATACTCAAGTGATATTAATAAAAATCTATTTTCACATCAACACTCACCCTGAAAAACCAGTGATTCCATCCCTAATATTGCCACCCACGTTTCTGGAAGTGATTCTTAAATTAGATGAAGAAATGATTTTCTATATTTATCAGAATAAAAGTAAAATAAAATAAGAAGAATCCGGGAAAAGCATTTGCACCCAACCAAATAGTTTTAATATAAAATATGGTGGAAATCTTTTATTTTATTTAATAGTACGCATGTATATATATACGTATTATATGTTTCATATTTTAAAGATAAAAATGTCATGAATTAAGTGATTGCTGGAAGCAGCCTAATTAATAATCTGCGGGATATCATTTCTAGTATTCAAATTAACAACTATATCTAAAATAGCTAAATCAACTTGTAAAAGCTGTCAAGAATACATACATTTCACTATATGATACTACTACAATTCATATTTTACATGCAGAAAGAAAAATTATTTTACTTACTTAAGCCCTTGGCCCATATCACGAAGTACTTCCCTAGGTTGTCTATGACTTGCAGGTGCTCCATTTAATTCATAATTTTTTAACTTCTTTGTGTAACTGTCCAATTTCTTCTGAAGTTGAGAAATACTGTGCGCTGATTTTTGATTCTTTTTTTCAAATACTGCCTTAATTCGAGTAAGCTGTTGCTTATCGGCATTAGCAGCTAATTTTAAATATTCATTTACATTTTCTGCAAACAAATATATATCATTAAATTTTTTGTACCTTTCAGAGTTACATCTCTAATAATACATAAGCCATGTGTATCATAATTTAAGTTGAACAAATGCAGTAGTTGGTAATAAAAATCAATACTACATAATTACTAATTATTGAAAAATTACCATCACGTGTAGTTTGTTCTATTCTTATCAGTTCTCGTGTTTTAGCAATTTTGCTTTGGATATGCTCAATAGCTTGAGAAACACGAGCAGAATTTGAATCAACATCATCAGTTATTAGTTCGGAGGATCCATTCGACAGGAACGATTGAGTTGCATGATACTGTTCCTATAAATTAAATGAAATTTATATTAAAATACTTATTCTTAGCTTGCGCATAACACTTGTAAACAGTGATCACCATAAAGAATCAATTAGGAGGAATTTGTTTCACTTATACAATAATAAATAATGCCTAGTTCATGACTGTACTTCGAAGATTGAATTCTTCAGCTTCAAGACCACTTAGAACATTATGCAAATAGCTATTTCATTTCTTAACCTATAACCCTGATTATACAGTTGTGGTTGATGACCTTGCATTACAGTGTAATTGTCATAGCGTACAAAACATCATCACGTTACATAAGCAGCTTTATAGAAAGATACATCTACTACTGCAATATCTGTTAGCAAGATTAATATTGTGAATTTTATATTTTTAAACATATAATGAGAAGATATCAATATTGTAAAAATATCTTTGTTATTAAAATTATATTGAATTTATCACAAAACATCTGATCTTGATATGTATATTATTTCAAGACGAAATTACAAGGGAAACCAAAGACAAGGACCAAAATTATTTTACAATATGAATTACATACTCCTTCATCATCAGTTGGTGGGTGAATATTTGGCACAAACTCATCTGGTTCGGCAGTGATTAAACTGGTAGTTGCTTCATCCATAGCATCTCCTATTCGAATCACGGTTCCTGGTGATTTTTGCCTACTACCTTTCATAGTGATACTACCTCCACCACCACTACTTCCACTGCCTGTACTACCCTCCCCTGTTTGGGAGCTGTAAGTGATATTTAGTTTTATACCATTATCTTTTTACATATTTCTCTTACTTTTAAATAAAAGTGTGTAGACATATAGTATACTACTGGAAATAGTATTTCCACATAAATATTATTTAAAAAAATACTGTTAATCTTAATCTATGTTCTAAATATGAATATTTGTACGACATATCTAAAAATAATGAAATCTTACAGTGAAGCATTACGTGCTTTTGGCGGATGATCCAAAATAGCTGATAATTGTTGCGGCGAAGTTAACGTACTTCCTCTGTTCGGTGATGTACTGCGAGAGCTATTCTTACTTGATGTAGTTACCATCAAACTAGCCATTCCTTTATTCTGAAAAAGTTTTCATTTGCAAAATGACAACATTTAAACTACCTTTATGTGGGACCCATTTTATTCTATAGCTTAGAATCTTTGGAATCTGCAAGTTCTCTCCCACTTATTATGAAATACAACATATAATAGAAAAATAAATTTTAATACGGCAGTATTCGGAGCATCATATCGGTTCACCTCCATGGCTAACACTTGGTTTAGTGCAATGAGTTCTCTATCATATCTTATCATATTTCTAAAGGCATACTTTTATCAATTGTTATCAATATTAGCCTCCACATTCTTTTGTGCTTAGCATAATTAAATGTATAAAAACTCTATCCATGATATTAGTTATTAAGTTTTTTGATTGCTCATATCATTAATTTAATAATTTGGAATTGTGTTGTATTCAAGAGATGTACAAACATATACAATGTACGTGGTTAACAAATAAATAGTACTTTTGTAGTTACAGAACAAGTAGAGCCATTCTGTTTGGTTTCATATATCTATTTTAAGCTACAATTTTCTCTAAGGGTGATATTATCTAATCTGAACCTTGTGTATATGTATGGATTACACTTCTTGTCTAAAAATAGTATATATGTAAAATATTCTGTTTAAAAGGTATTGTGAATGTATTGCTTTTATTAAAAATATTATTCAGTTTCAAATAAAAGTATTTATTAATAAATTAAAACAATTTTTCAAACGACAATGGTACAGCACAATAATCAACATAATATACGTTATACGCTATAATTCATTCCTATTAAATTTGGTAAAACTAATCTCAAGGAAATTTTGTTATCCTCAAGCAGGATAATAAAAATAAACGATTCCCTCAAGAAATCTCTTGTCCTATTAACACAGAGTCTGAGAAAGGATTCAAGACGTATCATTCACATTCTATCACCTTTAACCCGATCTTTTAACTGATGAATCATCCTGATTATTATAATTAGACCATCGACATTGCTTCTTAACTGTGACTAATACAATGAATGGACAAAATATGCGATGTAACAGAAATACGTAAAATTGCGATTCTTAAATATTTAAGATTAGAAACGGCAATAAACACGTGAAAATTTACAACGATCGAGATCCTAAAAATTATGAATGTGTACCGTTTATTTTAGCAATGCAGTAATTGTTAAAAATTACATTTCGTAAAACTGCGTTATTCTTAATGCGATAACAGGTTCATTCAATTATACATTATTCGGTACAAAGTAATGCGGGTAAAAAAAAAATAAATGCAAATACAATGTATGCATAGAAATATCGTATTAAGAATTTTTAACCGAATGACACAAATTTCGATATATCGCTTTATTCTTATGTAAACCGTGTTATTTGCAACGAAAATAACAAAGAACGAAAAAATCTGATCTAAGTAAAAACCCGTTCCACCGACGAAGAAGAAAACATTAATCGGAGAATTTCAAATGCGGATGCATGCATATTGTATACATCGAACCATGAGCGACAATATTCAGTAACCTGCGATATTACGTTGCTATCGCAACATGTTTCCGTACATATGATATCGTTCGCAATTGTGCGGACTGCGAGGAGGTATTGTGAACCGATTGTCCCACCCCTCTCGCGATAATATCACGGGGAAGGGTATGGATGACGAATAAAAACAAACGATCTGTCAAAATCTCACGGTGCATCGGCACTCGATTTATGGGAAACATTCGTGACACTTTACCTTTGTTACCGTCGGATGCACGGAGCTCGTGGTTGAAGCATGTTTCATTTGGTGTTGGTGTCACAGAAATTCACAAAAAAAAAGAACGATCCTCTCACGTTATTCCGTTTCGTCCGACTTGCTCCTGGTCGATCAAAGGATCACCGTCGCTATCGTTTTTCACGGGCGTGTCATCGCTCACCATTCGACATCGTTACACTAACCACTGCAACGATAGCCACCGTACCGTACCGTGTCGTTCTCACGTACTTGATCGATGATAAACTCATTCAGAAACACAATAGAACCCGCACACGACGCGACACATTCGCCGAAACCGCTTCGTTACTTCACAACTGGACAGTGGAATACGCCAAACGAGGAGGCATGGAGCAACGAACGCGGAAGAGGGGGTAAACACAATCGATATTACCACTTGCACAGAGTGATATCTTTCGATTCCTAGGGATATTTTCTAGTAGTAGCCTGCGATTCGTCGGTACTCCACTGCCGTATCTGTGGATACGAAACCGGGCAAATTTGAAATATACTTGCGAACTTTTGCTATGCGTTTACAGATACAACCGAAATATTATCGTCGAATGTACAGTCAATGTCGAGAAATTGGGAATGCAATCTAACGAAAATGAATTTCATTTTCTCGGTCAAATAATACAGTTGACAGAAAGGGTCGAAAAAAACATTTGCACATCGCAAGCACCTGTGTTTAAATTGAAGCAAATTAAAGCTTCGATTAACCTAATCTCGCAAAATGTATTTCTTCGCGACTAAATGCGTTTAAACGTGGACGATGTTAGGTGCTTATGACATTGGTTATTTAGTTGTAGTATTTATTACCATGTATATCCGTTTCTGTAAATTATTTGGTGACCTAAGCGATCTTCGAAGACGGTTTTATTCTCCTCTTCGTTATTATTATCTACATCTAAAATCTCGTCGAATCGATCATTATCAAGACGAAAGCGAGAGCGTGGTTCAACAAGTGCCCTTAAAAGCTTCCATCGCGTTTGTTCACTGTTCGTCACTCAACTTCCGTAGTTTCTCGAGGAGAGAATTGCCGAAAGAATTTCGGTACTGTGGGCTAACAGAGTCTAACAAGCTATAGGGCGTCTCAAAACGTTGGCCTCCCACGTTCGACGTGTCGTCGTGCTGGTTACCAACGATGGAAAACCCAACGCCCGCCAACTCGATACAGAACTTCAGTCCCTCCAACGTGGTCAGATTCAAATATATAAACTGATTCGTGCTCTGCAATTTCTCCGACAGCTTGATCTCCACTACATGTTGTTTCACGTCATTGATGACAGTCTGTGCCTCGAGCTTCCACTGTTCCTTGTCTAACACTTTATCTTCCTCTTCCTTCATTCTTTCGTTTTGGCAACGCTGACCAACGACTTTTCATCGATGCCTGTAATATCCTCGAGCAATTGGCAACGAACGTTAATGCCTGTCCACGTTACGCCGCGATCTCGTGCGTTCTTTACGCGTTGTTGTTGGACGGCACGTGGACAGGCTAGATTCAGGGTCAAAGACCTAGATCAGGCGATTATACAATTATTCAACGTCGTACTTGTTTCCCAAGAGGCGCGCGATATCGTTGCGTGGCAGCCACTGGGTGATCCGTGCCGTGGTCAGTTTAGTCCTTGACACTGCGTGCGTTATAAATTGCGTTACACTCTCAATTTCACATACACACCTAGTGCACGTGCACCGAACGCATTTCGCGCACTGACCAGTACTGACTGCTGATTTATCAAGTTCTGCATGCGCAATATCTCGGCCAATCTCGGCTCTTGCGGCGCCATCTTCCCGTGTTTATTCGACTCGAATGTAGGGGGCGTTCGAATCACTGTTCTTTTTTTTTCTTTTTAAGTTGTCGGTACCACAGATTTCTGTCGTTTTAGCTTAATATAATAGTAATCACTGTTCTATTTTATATTTCTTGTTCGATTATAATTTTCCAGATAATTTAAATTCAAATCTTAACCTTAAATGGAACATTTAAAATACGTATCTTGACAGTACTAGGCTTGTAAAAAGCATGTTTGTGAATTAATGGTTCTCGTAATACATTCAGTATGTTTACATCTTGTGTTACACATTTATTTTTTTTGCTTCGGTTAATAATAATCTAGCGCATATACGATATGATTTCTATGAGTTCTTCTTCGTCAGGCGGTTTAAATGATTGCCAGATCGATTTTTGGCGGGCGCGAATTTCATTTTGATTGCCCGCCAAGTTGTACGCGCAGTTGACTTTAACTATGAAAACACGTGCACGACTGAAATCTAACAATAAAAAACCGAGATACACGCTGTAGTTTCTGAGCTTCGCAGATCTTGCTATTTTCCACGCTGTCACCCGACGTATTCGTTGCACTTTGACCTATTTCCGGCACTCCTTCAATTCTTCTCGTCTTGAATATCTGAATTTTGAGTCCTCTTTTACCCACTTGAGTTTCCTCCAAGCCTCCGAGCTGGCGATTTTGAAACTCTCTCCACCCTCTTGGCTGCCTTTCGTATCTACAAGCCCACTCTATACCACCGAGCACCTATCCATTGACCTTTAAGTAGTTCTTTCTTGCTTCGGTGTTTGTATTGTGTTTGCGCATTCCTGATTCTCATCGCTTGAATTCAATATATCGCGTCATCATATACAGGGTGTCTAAAAAATGTCTCGCAATCCGGAAATGGAGGGTTCCCGAGATCATTTGAAACAGCTTTCTCCTTAGCAAAAATGCAAACCGCGGCTTCGTTTACGAGTTATCAACGAAAATCAGTGACCAATGAGAGGCGAGATCTACTGGCGCGAGACGGCCGAGCCAATGAGCGGAGCTGGGCTTCGGGCGCTCGTTGGCACGGCCGCCTCGCGTCAGCAGAGCTCGCTTCTTATTGGTTGGCGTTTTTCATTAATAACTCGTAAACGAAGCCGCGGTTTGCATTTTCGCTAAGGAAAAAGTTACTTCAAATAACCTAAGGAATCCACCATTTCCGGATTGCGAGACATTTCTGGGACACCCTGTATATCCGCTTACATAGCAGCCACCACGTGCTGACTACTGTTGTGTTTAATGCGTGCTTATCTTGTGTACTTCTTCTTCTTGTGTATTTATAAATATTATTAGGTTGGTAAAGAAAGTAATTTCGGTTCGCATCAATAGATAGCGTTATGTTTGCATTGTCGTTCTTTTGTTAAGGTTATAATGTTTTTTATCTTCAGCTTCGGTAGTTGACACGTTTAGCTTGCTATAGAAAGAAATTTAGTTTCGCTTACAACTGATAGTTTGCTGTCGATTTTAACACGGAGTGCAAAAATGAATATTTTCGACGCATTTTACTTTTTTATTTTCATACAGGCTAGAAAGCAGCAGAGGCTCGCAAAGAAATATGCGAAGTTTACGGCGTCGATTGCTTAACAGATCGCACGTGTCGGAATAGGTTCAACAAATTTCGTTTCCGAAGATTTTTCACTCGAAGATGACGAACGTTCTGCTCGACCTTCAGAAGTCGATGACGAAATCAAAGCCATAATTGAATCGAATCGTCGTATAACCGTACGAAAGATTGCAAAAAGGTTAAACGCGTCGCACACAACAATTGAATATCGCAGATGTCTTGGACTTGTTCAGAAGCTCGCAGGAATTGAAAGAAATTTGCTTGACGCAACGAATCGGTATTTCCGATGCGCATTTTAAACGTAACGCGATCTAACCTTTTTTGAAACGAATTATCACCGGTGATGAAAAATGGATCGTTTACAATAACATCGATCGAAAAAAGCCTGATTCTGGGCTCAAGGCTTATCCCAAATCTCTGCAGATTTGGGCAGATTCTCTTCGTCGAAGAAATGGTTAAATATGGCCGAGAATTGTATTTTTTATTTTTTTTTTTAATATTTATTATTTTTTTAAATATTTATTTCTTTTTAAATATGTTCGCAGAATTGTACTCTGAATTGTCTCAATCTCTGGTCCCTTTCTTTGTCATTCATTCAGAGTCGGCTCCGTCTATTCCGCCACGCAAACCGTAGCTTGTCAAGATATTAAGAGCAATGGTCGAAAGTGATGTCATCATTCTATCGAACGATGTAATAGAGATTTGAGATTCAATTGCACGGTTAAACAATGTATCACTTTCGTATTCTTAAGGGGAAAGCCTGGCGCAGCGGATCGAGAACGATTTTGCTTCATAAATTGATTATTCAATGTGAAAATATTCTTCCAAAAGCGATTAATAAAATTGGAAATTTCATGCCAAATGGCTGATTGAAACTATTATATTTGACTAAACTATATTATTTTAGTGAACGTTACAACGATGATTATCCAGTAGTCATTCTGTACACTGTGTAGAGAAGAGAGAGATTAGAACTTTCTAATGTTTTTACTTTTCATACAATACCTAATTTTCGTCAAAAATTTTGAGATTTTACAAAAGCTCCTTGTTCTGGAAATCATTTATATTTTAATATAATAGAAAATTATATTAATTATATAATTATATAATATAATTAATTATTATCAATATTTAATATTTATTAATTATTTCTTTAATATTTTAGTAAAAAAAGGAAACAGAGGTGTATCGTGTGCGTTTTATGGATAACGGTGCGGCAGTCGACACGTACATTAGGAAACGCGACTTGAAGCACACTTTATGGTTCTCGTTCCACGTGAACTCGCAAGCAGTTGATGGCGAATGATTCGAATGACGATCGACTCGATATCGACGAGGGAAAGCTGTCAAGGAAACCTGAGAACGAGGTTGCAACAGCTACCTCAGCCACGTAGAGATGAAGACGGGCCAAGCTGAAACTGGGAGATGTGGGATCAGCTACCGGAGCTGATACTGACGCAGATATTCAGTCACCTCGGTCGTGAGGATCGCGCCAACGTTGCACGAACTTGTCAGTCATGGAACCGTGCACTTTCATCTCCGGTTCTTTGGCGTTCCGTCACAGTCCTCATCGATCGTGATCTGCGGGGTGACTTCCCATTGGCGGGAGAACTAGCCGTGCGTAACGCATACATAGACACACACACAAATCAAAAGATATATAAGGTGGAAATTCGCCTAACGCGGGGCAGCATTTAACAATTAACCTAATTAACGCGTTAAACAATTTATTGGACGATTTTGTTAACCTTACTGTTGTTGGGTTCGAGTCGCGACTTTGTGGAGCTCGTTCGAGCAATATAATAATATATTATTATATATTATATATTATATATATAATATATATTATATGTAATAAATAATAATATAATAAATAATAATGTAATAAATAATAATATAATAATAATATTGATTTGTAAAACATAATTAATGTCTCCAGGCGAAATATGGACAGCACATGCGCATTCTAGAGCTCGCTTGGTCGCGACCGTACATTCTGCCAAGAGAAGCGCGCATAACTCGTAACATTCAAGCGGAAGCTGGTACCGATTTCCTGACGGTCGTTCGTGCCAAGAATGTCCAACTGAAAAAATTGATACTTACGAACTGGATCTTCAGTTGTAAATGGGGGAACAGAGGGAAGCTCCTTTATGCACTTGCAAACTTTTTAGGGTAAATTTATTCGTACTTTCTCTATATCTTCTATCTTTAACGTTAGAAGCTCGATTATTTGGGCATTTACAATACCAGATTTCATACCGATTTGTACCAGGGACCATAACTGTTATGATCAATATGAAATAATTGTTGCGTAAGAAATATTATTTTAATTTGATTTGGATCTCACTCTGTGTTACAAAATTATTGTATTTCCGGGAACTGAGAGGTTCGTGAGGTCATTTGAAGTAACTTGAAGTAACAGTTATTAACGAAAAACTCTCATTGGTCAGTGTTTATCGTTAATAACTCGTTAACGATGCCTCGGAGAACATTTTCGTAAAGGAAAAAGTTACTTCAAATGATCTCAGGAACCCCTTATTGTCTCTTGGAGCAACAAAAAAACTCTTGTTGTGGATATCGTTGGAGATCGTTTTGGTCGAATGCAAAATAATTTTACACCCTATTACAGATTTTAATTTTTTTTATCGATAACTTTTGCGAACAATTGAAATAAATATTTCTCGTAGATAATAATTATCGATGCAAGGCGCACATTTGATCGAATCTGCTTAGGAAAGACTCGACTGTTCGAGTAAAGAGGCATTATCTGATTCGAATTGCTTATGTTTTCTACATAAATCGATACGATTACACAGCTGCCAGCACAACTTGGAAACGTTGAGCTTGCTAAATGCGAACCTTGGCGTGAGCGACGTACTCCGGCTTCTAGCGAGCGCTACCAGGGGTTCGAGCGAGCATCTGACATATCTAGATCTTCGCGGCGCATTCCGAGAATGGCAAGCACCTCATAGCAATTCCAGGTACAAGCTGTATAGTTTATATTACACGAGTCCGTAATTAGTCGTAATTTAAATCTCTCGTAATAACGAAAATAGGGAGGGGGGATAACTGAGACCATTTGAAGCATTTCGTTGATAACTCGTAAACAAAACCGCGGATCGCATTTTCGTTATGGAAAAAGTTACTTGAAATGACCTCAGGACCCCCCCCCCCCCATTTCCGGATTATGAGACATTTTTGGGACACCCTGTATAATCCCTTTGGAACATTGCAGTTTTCTAGGGGCCTCGAGAAAAGTGTCAGATAATTTTGTTTTGATAGATATCAGAAAAATTTAAGCAACTTATTGCAATCATTAAAAGAGATCGTATTTAAATATTATTTATATATTAATATATATAGTAATACACTAACTGAAATCTTTTAGCTTAAAATCTTTAAGCGAAATAAATAAAAATCAGCGAAATGGGAATGTGATTTTAATTTAATTGTTTTTTTGTGTTGAGGTATAACGAAGAAGCGAATTTCACCAACTCGTTGAAAATAAACTTTCAGATATTTGCGGCTGCTCGGACGGTTTCGCGCGTTAACCGTTCTTAGGCTCGATTATCCAGCGCTGTCGGATCAAACGCTAAACGCTCTAGCAAACGCGGCGCCGAGACTGCTGAGAATTCTGCACATATCTGTACGGGATTCCGACTCCAGGCATCACACGATCACGGACACAGCTTGGCACAATTTGGCCGTCGTCTGCCCCGACCTAACAGTCTCCTACACTATAGGTACAAAATGATACGGAGTGACGTGAAAGCGATCGTTAAATTCTCTATTTAACCCCTTCCCGTGCAATAACGACGCGAGCTCGTGATCTAGATTCCAAACAGATCGCAGAAACTGTTTAGTTTAAGTTTAATTTAAATTGAGATATATTAATATAATATTATTATATTATATATTATTATTAATTAACAATTATTAATATACATATTTATTAGACTCTGTTTAGAATCTCCATCACGAGTCCGACAGGATATTGTAGGGCAAGAGGTTAAGCGGGGGAGAAATGTTATACAAATAAATATAGATATTCTCGTAAATGATAAACTAAAGAATACGCTTCTATATACACCATTTAGTTTCTTAAGCTTGATTTCTAGTTAATATCTCCCATTACGAAGATATGTGCTATTTGCTGCTACCCAGTGTGCCATTGGCTAGGTTTCAAATGTTCAGCGGCCACGTGTGGGATCAGAGCAGATCACGTAACTTCCGAAGCACTGTTGGACTGCTTATCGCTCATTACACCAACACGTTAGGTACATTGTGAATTTTTATGAATTCTCATTCAGGATGTACGCAGCCTGGTTCACTAAATGATATAACACTGGAAATTTATTATTATTCCAATTATTATATAATATAATATAAATATTGTATAATATTATATAATTATTATAATTATTATCACAGTCGCTTATTCTTGATTTGACACAAAATTCGTCAGCAATATATATATTATTTCAACAGAGTAATATTAAAATTAAAATTTGCTGGCCAACATTCTACAGACGAGAACAATTCGAATGAATAATTACGAATAACTAAAATATTGCATTGTATTGCAGCGGAAGTAATGTTACAATTGAGAAATAATCGAGAAATGCTGGATGACCTATTGATCTGTATGCTGGTACACTGTAAGCGCTTAACGAGATTGCAATATGACGGTATACTGAGGAGTCTCGACACTTTACAGGACATCTGTCAACTCCAAGCTGAAAGCAAGACCCGTAAGTAGGAAATACGTACAGCGACGAGCACATACAGGGTGTCCCAGAATTATGGTACTTTCAGGAAATTGGAGATTACTGAGGTCATTCGAAGCAACTTTTTCCTTTACAAAAATGTTCTCCGAGGCATCGTTAACGAATTATTAACGAAAAATACTGACCAATGAGAGGTGAGCTCGCTTGGCGCTAGGCAGCCGAGCCAATCAGCAGAACTGGACGTCGCGCGCTCGTTGGCTCGGCCGCCGCGCGCCGCTTAGAGCTTGTCACTCATTGGCCAGTGTTTTCCGTTTAATAACTCGTTAACGATGCCTCGGAGAAAATTTTTATAAAGGAAAAAGTTGTTTCAAATCGCCTCAGGAACTCTTCATTTCCCGGAAATACCATAATTTTGGGACACCCTGTATATAAGTGAGTAAATATAAATGAAATCGAAAAGAAAAAGAAAACAAATCGAAAATGAGTAATAGAATAGTTTTTCAACTGGGCCTTTGCTGTCGAGAAACTCGACTTTTTAATTTTTAATTAATAAGCATTGTCGTATGTATGTACTGATATTATATCATTCCACCGAACATTTCTCCTTAGGTTTTCGTACAATTCACGTGAAGCCCCGCAACGTTAACGCCCGGAATCGCGTCATCTTGAACGACATCAACTACCAGTACGACCACAAGATGGTGGAACAGGGTGTGGATTTTCGTATTGAAGATCCTGCCTCGGTTCTAGTGTTCTATTAACGTGTTTTTCGATCCTTGTGGCTGTCAACGACCGGTATCTGTTCCGCTGACATCTCATGCTATTACAGCCAGAAAATAAAAAACTAATATCTGCCCATGTTGGTAACAATTGTTATTTCTTTCTCGTTGTAGAAATTTATTTTTATAATTTTGATCATTTTTTACTCGTACGTTACTTTTGTTATCCTTAGCGAAAATATTCTACGAGGCTTCGTTCACGAGTTATTAACGAAAAACAGTGACCAATGAGTTTCTCGCTGATAACTCGTTAACGATGCCTCGGGAAAAATTTTTGTAAAGGAGAAAGTTGCTTCGAATTACCTCAGGAATCTCTAATTTCCCGAGAATACCATAATTTTGGGACACCCATATATTTCATATGGTATAAAGTGGACATTGCATTGCAATTGGATCAGGTAATAAATTCACAGTGTTAAGAAATTGCGTACTTCTTTTTTTGTTTTTTTTTTATTCGACATCGAATCGTTGACAATCGCGCCAACATTATTTTCATTCGTAATAAATACAGCGTTATAAAATAGTTCCACTGTAACAATTTATAGAAATATGTATCTAGGAAAGTCTTAAATAATCTTCTAACAGCCGTTAATGCTATCTCCCCGGATCCGATTGAAAATTGTTATTCGTTTCGTTCGATTGTAAGACACAGTTTTCGATGAATAATACAGTTTTGAGAATATTAATTCTAATAAATGGAGTATAAAAACGGTGTATAAAAAAGTAAAAAATTTAAATTCTAGATTTATCACATTATGCTATTTATAATATATTATTCGTGAAACGTTCGCCTAATTCTAAAATAATCACAACATTCAATTTCATGTATATTCTACATCGAATATTGACGATTTCTCCTAGTTAACCTATCGAGAACGATACGCGATTCTAAAATCACGATAACATTATCTTTACGTGAATACTAAAAATTCCTTCCTTGTTTATTAAAGAGTATAACATATAATGAAGTTATTATATCGAAAGAGAACTAGAATTCACGAAATTGGGGACGGTATTTTGATTGCAAGAATTGTAAATTATATATTGCGAGCTTAAATTAATGAATGAAAAAATTTACAAATATTTTCGATGACATTCGTTTGCATACTTATTATTTACGTATAGCACAGAAAATTGAAGCACTGCAGAGATAAACTTATCTCGAACAAGTTGTTTGTAATTCTATATAATAATAACACACTTTTGTAAAGTACTGGAGGAATTAAATTTACCGTTAACTCTAACGCTGGTACAGTGGTGCACGGTTAAATTTACACGACCCAGCCCCCCACTCTTCTTCTACCGTAGACCCTCGAACTCTGCGAGGCCTCATCACACAGCAGACAAAGATAATTATAGCACCAATGGACAGCTGAGATTCTTCCGATTAAAATGAGCCCAAACATGACGTAAATCCGCTTACATTTACCGTCAAGCTTATTATTTAATTCGTAAATTAATCGTATTATTTAATTCGTGCTTATATTAATTAATTCGTAAATAGCTGAAATTAATCCGACTTACATCGGATTCATTTTAATCAGAAGAATCTTAGTTATCCATTGATGTTACGATTATTCCTTGAAAGCGATAATTGTCCTGGTGTTCATTTGAACACTTTAAATCTAAATATCACGAAAAAAACACATTTTTCAGGAAAATGTTAAATCAAACGTTTTGTGAATCTCCTTGAAGGACACTGAGAGGGTAACTTTGTTTCTTTAAATGCAAACTTATATTTTTGATTGCAAATTTTTATTTTACGCGTAAAAAGAATCAGTGAGATTGTATCTATTAAGAAGATATTTAATAAAATACAAAATTTGTTTACTTACGAAATTTCTTCGTTTTTCTTGTATTTTTCTTTTTTATCATTTTACCTTGGGAACGGTGACGAGCGCGGTTACCCTTCAAATAACCTTCAAAGTGACGCAGAAAAAAAAGTACTAGTAAAAGTAACATCGAATAACTTTTGTATTTAACATTTTTCTCAAAAATATATCGTTTTCGAGATACATATAGATTCAAAGTTTTCAAATGTACACGCTGTATAGTAAATTCATACGCAAGAGTTACTTTCATTTAGCAAAGACTATGTCACGGTAGACATCAATAATTGCAACGTCTCGGAAACATGAACCAATGATGTAAGTGAAACTGACATTCGTAATTGGAGGGAATGCTGAAACAGCAGTCGAACAGAAGTTTCCATAATAATTTCAACAAGTTTAAAATAATATATCGACATTGTTAAATTATCTTGCAATGCTTTTACACATTCTGCACTTTCGAATTTCATAAAACTCATTTTTCGCAAGCGTGACCGTAGCTTTACATTATTACTCAATTTTGTAAATTATTACACATAGAAACGTACAGTCCGCGATAAAAAGATAGCACGTGCCCAGATATTGTGATTAAATTATTTATCTAGGTACTTTATATTTTATATTTCCAACAATTCTTCCGATATGTGCCACAACGTTGCCGCACCGTTTATTATTTTTGTACACACTTGAAAGACGCAACTTTCTTTCTCTCGTCCATATTAACGGGCATTATTTTACAAAAAAAGTACACGTACAATTAAAATAATGGCTCGCTTCGTTGCGTGAAAATAGCGAAAACATCGCACGCGTCGGACGCGCCATCTTTCAATCGCGGACTGTACTAGACGGACTGTCGAAGACGCCGCGAACACGGCATAAGGATGACTCACGAGCAAAGGCGCCGCCAGCGACGACCGCGGTCCGCTCAGCGGCAAGACTTCATGTGCGTGTTTAGAACGGTCCTGGTCACAAATCCCTTTCCGCAGCGCGGGCAAACGTACGGCCGTTCGCCGGTGTGATAGCGTTTGTGAACCACCAGCGTCGACCTCTGTGTGAACGCTTTGCCGCACTGATCGCACGAGTACTTCCGTTCGCCCGTGTGCGTCACGTTGTGCGTTCTAAGGAGGGTCTCGCAGGCGAAACACTTGCCGCACACTTCGCACGTGTACGGTTTCTCGCCTGTGTGCGAACGATTGTGGATCTCCAGGCCCTTCGCGGTCTTCAGCTCCTTGCCGCAAAGGGCGCACAAGTAACGACGCCTCTCGTAATTAGGCGTGTCGCCGTGAGCCTTCACCGTATGTTGTTTCAGCACGGACTTGTATTTGTAGACTTTGCCGCAGACGTCGCACTTGTGCATCGAAGACTGTTGTTGGCCGGCCTCGTTCACGTTCTCCTGCATCAAGGCCGCTGGGTCGTAATGGTAGAGCCGATTGTGCTCCTTCAAACTGTATCAATGCGATTCGTTTAAATTCGAGCCGTCGACGGTTTACCGGCTCCGTTTTGTTCGGTAAGAAACAACGGCTATTATTAGACCGCGGATTTTTAGGCAAAATCAACATTTTCTAATGTTACTTGCGTGTAAGTCAGGTCGAAGCGTCATTTCTCTTTTAACCCTTTGCACTCGAGGCACCACTAAAATTTATTACATCGCGTTTTAAGATAATTTTTGTATCAGCAAAGTTTAGCTTTAAAAAATTGTTAAGAGTGTAATTGTTGCGCGATTCCCAAGAGTCAATTTCATATGCATAACATGCATTTTGCCATATAAAATAAAAGCACTATAAGTTATAAAAATAATTTTATATTTACAGTTAAAATAGCTTCGAGTGCAAAGGATTAAAACACTATGAAAGGCGTCAAACAATATCTTTCAATCATTTTGGTTTAAGAATACTTTTACCAAACGGGTTGAAGTACATCTTCGAATAATTTTTTATAAAATTGTTTCCTATATTCGCTATTGTTTTCTATGTAATCACTTCTCGACTTTTGCTCTGATTTACTTTAATGAATTTTCATAACAAATAACATAATCTAACAATTTCTTTGAAAACTGTTGCTTAAGATAAGATTTCAGCATGATCATTCAGAAGCCTGTTGAATAGTTTTCTGATAAAAAAATACTACCATTCTAATAAACCATTGACAATACTAATTGTGTATTTAATTTTACAATATCCTGAAATTTTTTAATAGACGTAATCGCGTCGTTCTGTAACATCGTGTATGCATTTTTCATTCCATTCACTAAAGAATGTGATATTATCATCTTTGAAAGATTATAATCTTTTAATTAATCTTTTCTGGCAAAGTTCACTCGATTGTTCTCTTATCGAAAGAGTAGCGCTGGAACGAATAGAATCCGCAAAAGTCTGTCGACGTACGTTAACGGTAATCGAAAAACATAATACCTGTATACGTCATCGAATGTGCTACCGCAAGCGTTGCACTGTTGATACTGCATAAAGTTGTGCATAGCCGTGTGCGTTATCAGCGAGTCCTTGTCGACGAAATTCTCGCTGCAGATTTCACAGGTATATTTCACTTCTCTGTGATGTCGCTTCGTGTGCCTTTCCACGTCGATCGCGTTCACCCCCATGAAGTTGCACTGGCCGCAGGGGGTTGTTTTCGGCGTGTGCGACTTCTTCACGTGCGCGTTCAGCATAAACTGTTGCGGGTACGTTTTCCCGCAGATGGTACACTTGAACGGTCTATGGATACCGTGTACGATCCTCAAATGGGCTACCAGCCTAGTGGCGAAGTGGAACTTCTCTTGGCAAAGATCGCACACTTTCTCGTTACCCTCGAATCTGGAATGTTCCAAATGGTCGATAAGAATTTATGATAATTGTCCTATAATGTATAATGTGTCATATATAATATATTATATCGTCTTATAATGTATAATATATTATATTGTCCTATAATATATATAATATTATAATAATAAAATAATATATATATACATATATACAAGGTGTCCCAAAAATGTCTCGCAATACGGAAATATGGGGTAGCTGAGGTCTTTTTAAGTAACTTTTTCCTTTGCGAAAATGCATATATATAATTTAACAATTTAATTATATTATAATTATTAATAATATTATATCATACTATATATATATAATTATATTATAATTATTAATAATATTATATTATATTATATATATAATTATATAATCTTATTATGGTATATTTATAAAGCAGATCGACAAAATCGTGTAAAAGAACTCACTTTTGTCTTGGATCCAGAAGAACGTCTACTACACTCTTGATTCTGAACTCATCGCAATCCGCGAGCTTGCCGTGATCAGTGATCCAGTGGCTGGAATGAGGAAGCCTTCATTGATAACATTACAAATTTACAAAAAGCATCATGAGTGCTTTAGAAAGTGGTAACAAAATATTACGATCATATATATTACATGTACCATTGCTAGAAAATTACCTGTTCGAAATACGTTGAAGAAGCTGTCGCTGCTTTTCGTAAATGCGAGTACGCGAATACGTCTCATTTTATTCGCATAAATTAATCGTAATCAAATTATTCATACGATATTACGATTATTCTGAAGTTGGAAGAAATACAAAGGAAATTGGATTTAATAGTATTTACAACAAAAAAACAAAAAACAACGAGAAATCAGCATTGTTTATTATTGGTAAAATAGATTAACTTACAAAGATAAGGTACAATTTGAAAGAAATACTATGTAATGTCTTTATTATTAACACTGTACAATATATTAATGACAATATACGAATAATATGAATATCGAAAATGGTTCTTTTACGAGCATAGGTCGACCTTTTTTTCTCGAGCATAGGTCGACCTCTTTATTTTACGAAATTCTTCAACGTTTCTATTTACTATTTGTTTCAAAATTTTAATACCTTTATATACAGGTTATCCAAAAATTATGTGACGGGTTCCTGATGTCATTTGAAGCAACTTTTTCCTTAGCGAAAATATTCTACGAGGCTTCGTTCACGAGTTATTAACGAAAAACAGTGATCAATGAGTGGTGAGCTCGCTTCAAATGAGCTCAGGAACCCCTCGTTTCCCGGAAATAACATAATATTATGTTATATTACTATATTATACTATATTTATAATATTATTATAAATAATATTATACTCTAATAATAATATTATATAATATTATACTATATTATATACTATATAATATTATATTATATTATAATTATTAGTAATATTATATTACACATATTCGTATAATGATTCAAAAGTAACAATAATCCGCGTTACATCAAGCGATGTAAAACATAAAAGTATATCAAAAAACATGAAAAAAGCAAAGCTTCGAAAGCTTTTCATTCCCAAAAGAACTGTACAGCACTGCACAAGTTCAATGATACGTTCTATTGTCTGTTCCGTCAGGTCTCCGGCTGTGATTTCACGTGGATCTTGCGGTGTTTCTTGAGGAAGCTTCCGGAGACGAATCCCTTGCCGCAGTCGTCGCACCGATAGGTCCTCTCTCCGGCATGATACCGCAAATGCAAGATCAAAGAGGTCCTCTGGGTGAACCTACGGCCGCACTGGGTGCAAGCGTGCGGCTTTTCGCCGGTGTGTATGCGCTGATGGATACTTAAGTTCTCTTTGCTGGCGAACTGTTTGCCGCAGAGATTGCACATCGCGACCTTCTCGTTCGCGTGGCCACGCCTATGCGCCATCAGCCTCCTCTTCGAGGACAACACCGCGCCGCACAGGTCGCACAGATGCTCGCTCTTCCGGCCGAAGCCGTGCTGCTTCCTCAAGTGCCTTCCGAGCAACAGCTTCTGCGCGAAGCTCTGCAAGCAGATGCCGCAGACGTGTTTGTGCTCGGCCTTGCTCGTCGCCGAATCCGCCGGCAGAACGTTCGCGTGCTGCAGCCTGAGATGCGCCGTCAGGTTCTTCTTGTATGGATAAGACTTGCTGCAATGCTCGCATCGGTACATCTGCTTCCTCGTGTGAACGTTCACGTGCTCCAGATACTCTGTTTTCAGGAAGAAGCCTTTCTCGCATTCCTCGCACTGGAACGAGTATTCCTTCGTGTGCCTGCGCCGATGGCACTCGAGGTTCGACTTCTGGTTCGACCGGTAGTCGCATAAGTCGCAGGCGAACCTCTTCAGGCCTGTGTGGATCAGCTTGTGTCGGGCGATGTTCATCGGGCTTCTGAATGTTTTGCCGCATTCGTCGCAGCTGAACGCTTTGTCGATGCCGTGCAAGTTCTTCAGGTGCTCGACGAGCTTTCGCGTGTGGCAGAAACAGGCGCCGCATTTCACGCACTCGTGGATCGCCCGGGACGTTGACCGTCGTATTCTGAAACACGGGTATTCATTTAATTTTTATCATTCGGAATTTCATCGACGGTTCAATTATATTTCACAATTTTTGGAGCCTGATTCTTGTTGCTTTCATCTGAAAATAACACGGCGATCACAGTAGAGCTTTGTTTACATCGCGGGCATAAATAAAAGATTTGTTCGATGTAATTGATCTTTTTTTTTTAAGTTGTAGGATCTAAGAGGATCTCTCTTTAAGATATTTTTCGTCCACCTTGTATACCTTCAAATATTTAAGGATCAGTTAATGATCATTTAATATTTTTTAGTAATTATTGTAATAATTATTATATTAATGATATATATAATATAATAATTATATTATATTATATTAATTACAATATATTATATTAATGATTATTATATATTATATTATATAATAATAATAATAATAATATATTATATTAGTGATTATTATATATTATACAATTATTATATTATTTTATTAATTATTAATATTTAATGATCATTTAATGAAATGTCAGACACAGGTCACTGTAATTGCAATAAGATTGCAACTTCAGCTCCGATTAAGTCGATCAGCAATTATTTTCAATTATTATCAATTTATCCGTTTCATAAGAATTGCTTCGCCGACCTCAACATAATTATTATTTGTTTCTGTGAAATTCAATCTTTAATCTATCGAGTAGAGAGTATTTCCTTTTATGTACTTACATTGCGCATTTTTCTGCGCAATCTGAGGGTCAATTGGGGAGACATTACTGTACCGTGAAGTGTTCAACTATGATGCATCGATAGCGTTATCGATATCGCAATGATTCATTAAGATTCTTGACAGCAAATTATTCTCGGATGGACACGTGCTCTTACATTGCTGCCCATGAAATACCGATGCGATCGAGCTGACCATGCTTGGAGGAAATCGACACCGAGAAAGCAGCGAGATATTGAAAAATAAGTGATTTTTATTTATTTAATATTACAATCAAGGTTTCGTTTTTATACAATACTTTGCAACATACGCAAACGAAGTAGAATTAAATTCCGCCAAACGATTTTATTTGAAAAAAGAACTTTAAAAATATTTGAAAGATAGTCACATATAAATAAATATAACTGTGTGTGTGCACTTACGTTTAGTAGATAATATTTTGCATTACATATCTTTATGTATTTATAACAAAAATGTGAAAATAAAGTTACAAAATAATAACATCGGAAGAATATATAATAAATGCCATTATACATTATTTCCAACTTATTAAAAACATTAAAAAAAAGATGAGACATTAAGCAATATTGCACACGACAGCATAAGCAACAAATGTCAGTTCATAATATATTCAGATCAATCGATTCCCTTTTCCTGAACCCTGTCCCCGTCGATCTTCCGATCCTCCCGACTCCCACGAAATTCCGTGGATATTTCGCGCAGCCCTCGAGTGTAGTCCATGATGAGCTTTTTCACCGAGATAACAGGCAACGGCGGCAACGGTCCCGGATGTCTCTTTCTGTGGCAAATCAAGCCCGGCTTCTGAGCGAAGCCCTGACCGCATATGTCGCAAGTATAAGGCCTCATGCCTGTGTGTATCAGCATGTGCTGTTCCTGAGCGTTCCTCCTGCGGAACGTTTTACCGCAGAACGAACAGGAATAGGGCCTGAGGCCCTCGTGGATCCTCAGGTGGATCTCGAGATCCCTCTTCTGGCCGAAAGTCTTCCCGCAGGTGGGGCACACCACCTTCTCCTTCTTCGTGTGCCAGAGCAGGTGCTGCTCCAGGCTGTGCTCAGTGGACAGGCAACGCTTGCATATGCTGCATTCGAAAGCTGGCTTGCAGTGCCTGTACCTCATGTGCGCCTTCGAGGCCGGGACGCTCTTCGAGGCGTGCCCGCAAACGGTGCAGATGATGGGCGGAGCGTCGTTGTGCACCTGATTCGTGTGCTGCTTCAGGTCGTTCTTCAGCTTGAACTTCTTCTGGCAGACCGCGCAGCTGTACTGGTAGCTGCTGGTATGCTTGCGAATGATGTGGTCCTTCAGGGTCCACTTGTTCGTGCTTTTGTACTCGCAGATCGTGCAGGGATACGTCAGCGGTCCGTGTTTCTCGTTGCTGTGCAACCTCAGCTCGTTTTTCAGACGGAACACCCGGTTGCAAGAGCTGCACCGGTGCTTGTACGTTTTCAGGTGCGCCACGAGCTGAGACTTCTGGAAGAACTCTTTGTCGCAGTGATCGCACTTCAAGGGCTCGCTGGATTTGATCCTGGCGGCTTCTGGCGCGATTTCTGCGGTCGGCGATACTAAGACTTTCGCGCCTTTCGCCGGCAACTTGCGAGCAGAACATCGAATTCTTCGGCTTGGTGTTGCTTCTTCTAGCGATCGTTGCTTAGAGTGATTGGTGATATTTATTTCGGCGGATCCGTCGGCGTACTTTGGATATTTCTGAGGATTGTAGATTTCATCCAGCGACCGGGAGCTAAAACAGATGAAACGAGACCTTGTTAAAGCGTGATCGTGGAGTCGCGGATCGTAGTTATACAGGGTGTCCTGAAATTATGGTATCTCCGGGAAATACCATATGATAAATGATACTCGATTTATTTGATATATCTTTGCAACGCTTTGAAAACATAATCTATGCGATTCGAAACATTTTTTAACTATATAAATTACAAAACAATTTACTGGCTCTCGTTTACATTTTGTTCTGGAACACTTTTCAAGGTACGATATTTCTGGTTCGAGTATAATTTCGTTTTCCTGAATTCCGTTTAATCTTTCGCACTTTTCGGATGTACGTTTCGTCGATTTTTTTCACCATTGTTATCCGTATCTTCGTCCCCCGACGTCGAATATTGTTCTATAATTCTCTTTCTTTCTCGATTTTCCTTGAAATCATTAGTCACCAATTCTTCTTCGCTACCCGTTCTGTCCCATGGGTGAAATAATTTCTAAAATTTAATATTAAATTTTAAGTTTCATATTCAACTGTATAGTACGTATATCGCGTAAATTCTTTCTAACCACATTAATTAAATTGATTATTCGACTAAAGCAACTGTCCAAAAAAACGAGATTAACTTGTTAAATACTAATCAATCAAAATTACCTTCGTCACCGCCTTCGGACATTATCAATAATAAATATCTCAATTTAAGTATATAAATAGACTTAGGCCACTTCCAAAATAAACTACTCAATTAATCAATTAGTCTTCCGTTTCGCGCGTTTGTAAGTCTCCAGATATTCCTTAACTATATTCTTAAGCGACACTGTTTTCAGGGGAGGCAGCGGCCCAGGGTGTTGCTTCCGGTGGGCAACGAGGCTCGGCCTTTGTGAGAAATCTCGGCCGCAGATGTCGCAAACGTACGGCTTTTCGCCGGAATGGGCGACGATGTGTCTCTCCAAAGGACTCAGCCATCGGAACGTCTTCCCGCAAACCGGGCACGTGTTGGGCTTCTCCTTCGAGTGCAGTCGCATGTGCGTCGAATAATTGTAATCACGGATCACCTTGCCGCATTCCCGACAGGCCACAGAGCTCCTCTTTATCATGTCCGAGTGCCATTGTTTGTGCTTCTCCAAGGACTCCAATGACTCCAAATAACGGTTGCATTTGGCGCATCGATACGGATGGTCGTCGTGCTTGCGCTTCATGTGACCGAGGACTTCGTTGTGATTCTCGAACACGGCGCCGCAGATGAAACACCTTTCAGTGAAGTGATCCTGCCTCATGTGTCGAGTCAGGTCGCCCTTCACCTTGAACTCCTTCGCGCAAATCTCGCAAACGTAAGCGCACTCTTCTGTGTGCTGTCGAAGAATATGATCTCTCAATGTATTCTTGTTCCGAGTTTTGAAGTCGCATTCGGTGCACCTGTATTGGTACGCTTGCACCGGCATCGCACGAATCGTTTGCCCGTGGCTTTCTCGGACGTGCGACATTATCTCCGGCTTGGTTCGGAATACCTGAGTGCAGGTGTTACATGGATACCTGTAGGACAACATGTGATCCACGAGGCCAGATTTCTGGTAGAATACTTTGCCGCAACGGTCGCAGTAGCGAGGCTTACGTCCGTTTCCATTGCTCGCCTCGGATCTCTTTCTGGTCTGCTCTTTGGAATCAGCTGACGGAAAATTACTTGCTGCATTTGTGATTAATTTTCCGGCCGGCTGGCGACCGTCCAATCGCGTAGGAGCCGCTAACTTGGGCACGTTTTGGATTTTCCAGTCGTAGAGTGGAGAGTTTATATTTTGAACGTCTCCCAAGGGATCCAGCAGGAAACTAAAACAGATGAGAATAAGTCTCGTTAGAATGTGATGTGTACAGAGAATGGGTTATCAATAATAATTTTGATAAATTGCTGACTTACTTGGAGCATTGTACGAGGTTCTAAACGTGTGCGACAATTTCGGTGTTAAACATAGTAAAAAATCGGTAGGATATTCGGCGAAGCTGATAAAAATGGTTGACGGAAAATATTTTGAAATTTTTAGTAATAGTTCCATTTTGTCCATCGCAAATATTAGGGGAGGGGGGAAGTAATGTCGTTTCTGTGCACGTCGACATTCGTTTGCCATTTATCAGCTCACCACTTCCAAGTCGTGCCGAAGACATTTTAAGGTTAGAGTGACTTGTTTTCTCGTAAATAATATAACCTTAAATGTTCTTTCTCGCTATTTATGGTGAAACGATCAGCCAAATACCAGGAGGATATTCGTTATTTTCAGAATTGTGATCTCGAATTAATTGGCCACATTTCCGACATATTATGAAGGACCTATCTATCAGAGACTCCCGCGATTCTAGGTTGCGCTTGCATTTCTTCCACTGATGCGGCAGATCGCCATGTTTGCTCGCCATGTGACTCACGAAGGCTCTATTGTGTTTGAACACAGTGCTGCGGATGAAACATTTTGTAACGAAGTGATCCTCCTTCGTGCGTTGAATTCTGGGAACGATTCTGGTCCCTTTTCCAAGTAACATTTCAACTTATTTATAACAAAGTGATTGTCGACGGGCGCCGCCATGCATAATGCTGACCCCCATTTTCCTCTCAATTAATCATTGAATCAGTTCATTATTGAAGTATTTATAAACATGCGTATATTTAGACTGCTATTTAAAATTCATTTTTTTTTACATTTCACTGTAAAATTACGGAAACTGAACCCGAAGTACACAAAAAAGTACCAACTTTCAAAACGTGTTATTTAACGCGTTGATTACTATGAATATGCACTTTATTCATGATTCTTCTCTGGGTCAAAATCAGATGCTCGCTGCTTCCTACTCTTTTCTCTTTTCAAATACCATTTTTAAACCAAACTTAATTCCTCTGCCTAATTGATGCTCATATTGTGCACATGACAATACAGTAAATTCTGCCTAATTGATGCTCAGATCCGATTATTCAACTCTTGCTAAATTAAGATTTCATTGAAGAGAATACGAAAAAATATGTTTATATCATGCGTGGAGCATGATATATCAAGTCAAGGTAGCAGGGACCAGAAGGGTGGCACGCAGAACACGANCGCCATGCATAATGCTGACCCCCATTTTCCTCTCAATTAATCATTGAATCAGTTCATTATTGAAGTATTTATAAACATGCGTATATTTAGACTGCTATTTAAAATTCATTTTTTTTTACATTTCACTGTAAAATTACGGAAACTGAACCCGAAGTACACAAAAAAGTACCAACTTTCAAAACGTGTTATTTAACGCGTTGATTACTATGAATATGCACTTTATTCATGATTCTTCTCTGGGTCAAAATCAGATGCTCGCTGCTTCCTACTCTTTTCTCTTTTCAAATACCATTTTTAAACCAAACTTAATTCCTCTGCCTAATTGATGCTCATATTGTGCACATGACAATACAGTAAATTCTGCCTAATTGATGCTCAGATCCGATTATTCAACTCTTGCTAAATTAAGATTTCATTGAAGAGAATACGAAAAAATATGTTTATATCATGCGTGGAGCATGATATATCAAGTCAAGGTAGCAGGGACCAGAAGGGTGGCACGCAGAACACGAGACATTTCTCCATAAATAACTGAAAAACCGGTCCACGCTAAATAGATCTACGCGACAAGGATCGAAGGATTCCAACACAGGAATAGCGGGCACAATTACGACACGAGAATTGGCTCAGAATTAATCTTTAATCGAGTGCGATGAACAAATCGGGCAGCCACGTGGCTGCGCCCAAGTGTCCGCGCTTTTTACAATGTTCCGCGGAAGCTGTTCGTTCGGTATGCTAATTCGGTATCATAGATTTTGTCGCGAAACGACGCTCGCTAAAACGCGGATTACAATCGGCGCGATTACAATTTGAGTTTCGAGCCGAGTAGCGATTTATCGCAGGCGATAACTCATTCAAGACGATCATTTCATATGGAAAAGTGACGTCACGAAGCTGCAACGTCGCAGTACACTCACACAGTCGCCAGATCTTTACGTAACAACACGCATTTAGCACGAATTAAAAATAAAAATTAGGAGACATACCGTCGAAGATTAAATCGATTGACAAATTAACCCTTTGAACTCGACGTCGTTTTAACACGAAATCCAAAATAGTTTTTCTTACAGTATTTTTTAAAATATAAACAGATTATTCGATAATGTTGACATTATTTAGAAAACTCGAGTGCAAAGGGTTAAGATTGACGAAACTAATTAACTAAACATTAAAAAAACCTTATTGCATATTTTTCTCGCGTTCTTTTGCGAGGAATCATCCGACGCCCGCTTGTGGATACGTATTTCGGGGACACACTTTATATAATTCCACTCTGAAGGCAATCGCGAAATGAACTGCACTTGGAAAAAGGTGCATTTGAAATACGAAACAAAACGATCCACGAAAGGATAAGTCACATTTTTAAAAGAAGAACGATTATGGAAACATTTTCTGCCTCTGGCATTGCGGTTTACCATTATTATTAGCGTATTATCACTGTGGGTATTTAACATAGTCATTGAAAAAGTTCGTACTTTCGTTCGAGAACGTTTCACGTATGACTATAATAAATTCTCCCTAATTGACGCTTAAGTCGTACACAAAAATGGATAATTTGGGAAGAGAAGATACGATTATACAAGTCTTGCGGTTATACAGGGTGTCCCATAATTATAGTACTTTAGAAAGAGATTCCCGAGATTATTCGAAGCAACTTTTTCCTTTACAAAAATGTTCTCCGAGGCATCGTTCACGAGTTATTAACGAAAAACAGTGGCCAATGAGCGATCGCGTACGACTGACGCCCCGCCCTCGCGATCACTGCCACTGCGTCAGACGCAGCAGGCGCGACCCGGCATTGGCCGCAAGGGCGGAGCGTCAGCCGAGCTCGCGCCCTCATTGGTCAGTGCTTTTCGTTAATAACTCGTGAACGAAGCCGCGGATCGCATTTTCGCTAAGGAAAAAGTTACTTCAAATCACCTTAGGAACCTCTCGCTTCAGTTTTTGTATTTATCGATTGTGAACAATTACGAAAACGAGACGCAAGGCTCGAATAATCGTATCACCTCTCCCCGAATCGTCCATTTTTCTGCGCAATTAGGAACAAATTATCGTACATGCAAAAGAATAAACTCGGATTGCAAAACCTTGTCATATCTCATAGATTATTGATTGAATTAGTTGATCGCCAGTTCCATCAGAAATACTGATAAGTTTATTCACACGTTTCCGACGCTGATTTGACTGTTATTTACAAAAGAAGCTCGAGTAGGAAAGCGAAACAATTCGAACAATTTTAGAATAAATCAATTCACACATCCTGCTTATGTCGTGTGTTCGTACAAATGCTTCAGCTTTCCCGGTCAAGCAAGCCGCCAGTTGTCCGAGCCTGGCTCATAGAAGATGCTCTTATTAATTAATCTCCTGTTTCACGTGCTTGTACGTCTCGAGAAAGTCCGTGACTATTTCTTTCAGCGATATCGTCGGCACAAACGGCTGCGGCCCGGGATGTTGTCGCGTCCAGTGTTTAAGGAGCCACACTTTCTGCGAGAACTTTTTCCCGCACATGTCGCAGACGTACGGCTTTATGCCGGAATGGGTGAGCAGGTGGACCTGCATGGCGCTCGGCTTCTGCACGCGTTTCCCGCAGATTGGGCACATGTTCGACATCATGTCGTTGTGCTTGAACATGTGCGTCAGAACGTTGTAATCACGTACCTGTTTGCCGCATTTCGGGCACGTCACCACGGATCTCTTTTTCATCTTCGCGTGCCATTTTTCATGCTTCTTCAGAGCCGCCAGCGATTCCGAGTAGTGGTTGCATTTGGCGCATTGATACGGATGGTTCGCGTGCTTCCGTTTCATGTGACCCACGAAGGATCGATGGTACTTGAACACGATGCCGCAGATGAAACACTTTTTCGTGGTGTGTTCCGTCTTCAGGTGCTGGGTCAGGTCGGCCTTCACCTTGAACTCATCCGCACAAATCTCGCAGGAATACGCGCACTCATCGATGTGCAGCCGAAGAATGTGATCCCGCAATGTATTCTTGTTCCGGGTTTTGAAGGTGCACATGGGGCACGGGTACGGGAACTTTGCTGTTGGCGAGGAGACGAGCAGCTTGTATTTTTCTTGGACATGGAAAATTATCTTCAGCTTAGTTTTTCGAAGAACTCACGAGGATCCTCGATTGTCCTCGATTCTAAGGGGTCTTTGTAAGGCGATAATAAATAGGGTGTCTCGAAAATTTCCCGCAATCCCGAAATGGGAGATTCCTGAGGCGATTTGAAACAACTTTTTCCTTTATAAAAATTTTCTCCGAGGCATCGTTAACGAGTTATTAAACGAAAAACACTGACCAATGAGAGACAAGCTCTAGGCGGCGCGCGGCGCGTGGTCACTGTTTTTCGTTAATAACTCGTGAACGAAGCCTCGTAGAATATTTTCGCTAAGGAAAAAGTTGCTTCAAATGACCTCAGGAATCCCCTATTTTCGGATTGCGAGACATTATTGGGACACCCTGTATATATATCATTATCATTGAGGACTTGTGTATTGTAATCTTGCAAAGACCTGTTAAAATCGAAGTCGGACAATTGGGGTCATCCCTTTTTCAGTGCAGATGCTACACGGATACCTGTACGGCATCAATCGTCTGCGAATTTATTATTTATTTAATTTATTAATAATAAATTAAATTAATTTTAATTTCTAATGATTTAAATTAATTTTAATTCCTAGTAGATTTAATTTATTAATTAAATTTACTTAATTTTTATTTCCAGTAGAAATTATTGCACAAGCAAGAAACGAGGGGTTTCTCGGGTAATTTGAAGTAACTTGTTCCTTTGCGAGAATGCAATCCGCGACTTCGTTTGCGAGTTATTAAGGAAAAACGGTGACAAATGAGAGGCAAGATTAGCTGGCGTCAAGCCAATTCGACCCCTCATTGGCTGGGCCGTCTCGCGCCAGCTGATCTCGCCTCTCATTGGTCACTGTTTTTCCTTAATAACTCGTAAACGAAGCCGCGGATNCGCAATCCCGAAATGGGAGATTCCTGAGGCGATTTGAAACAACTTTTTCCTTTATAAAAATTTTCTCCGAGGCATCGTTAACGAGTTATTAAACGAAAAACACTGACCAATGAGAGACAAGCTCTAGGCGGCGCGCGGCGCGTGGTCACTGTTTTTCGTTAATAACTCGTGAACGAAGCCTCGTAGAATATTTTCGCTAAGGAAAAAGTTGCTTCAAATGACCTCAGGAATCCCCTATTTTCGGATTGCGAGACATTATTGGGACACCCTGTATATATATCATTATCATTGAGGACTTGTGTATTGTAATCTTGCAAAGACCTGTTAAAATCGAAGTCGGACAATTGGGGTCATCCCTTTTTCAGTGCAGATGCTACACGGATACCTGTACGGCATCAATCGTCTGCGAATTTATTATTTATTTAATTTATTAATAATAAATTAAATTAATTTTAATTTCTAATGATTTAAATTAATTTTAATTCCTAGTAGATTTAATTTATTAATTAAATTTACTTAATTTTTATTTCCAGTAGAAATTATTGCACAAGCAAGAAACGAGGGGTTTCTCGGGTAATTTGAAGTAACTTGTTCCTTTGCGAGAATGCAATCCGCGACTTCGTTTGCGAGTTATTAAGGAAAAACGGTGACCAATGAGAGGCGAGATTTAACTGGCGCGAGGCGAGGCTACAATATGCTATAGTATTATTATAATTCAAACGGCCGCCTCGAGCTTATCTCTAATCTCGCCTCTCATTGGTCACTGTTTTTCCTTAATATTAATTATATATATATATTAATAATATATTATTATTATTATATTATATATTATATATATTATATATTATTATATATTATTATTATTATATTTTTTATTAATATATTAATAATATATTATAATATATTATATATATTCCAGAGATCGCATTTTCGCTCACGAGAAAAACCGTTTCAAATGACCTCACGAGGAACCCCTAATTTCTCGCTTGTACAAATAATCTTGGGACACCCTGTAGAGTCCTAGAGGCCTTACCATCAAGAGACAATAAATCATATCCGGAGTTCTTGATTAATTTTTCCGGCCATTGATCACAGTCCATCGGCATATTATCTGCTAACGTGAACACGTTTAGGATTTTCCAGGCGCAGGATTCGTCTACATTTTGAGCGTCTTCGTAAGGATCCAGCGTGGAACTAAAACAGATCAAAGTGCATGATTGAAATGTTTCAACAATGAGCTTCTTAATGTGTCGATCGGGATATTTGAGGGATATTCTAGAAAATGTGGTGAACTCTTCCTAATTTTCCTTCAGCTTGTGAAGAAAAATGGACAACAAGATTATTCGAGCCTCGCAGCTCATTTTTAGAGTTGCCGATTGTCAACAATTACAAGAACGAGCTGCAAGGCTCTCGAATAATCGTATCTACTTTTCCCAAAGTTGTTCATTTTTGTTTGCAAGCCGATGGAAAATTTGGGAGAATTTACTGTACGTCGAAATTTGTAGTAAACCTTGTTAGAAATTCTTGTTACAAATTGCGACGTATTTTTATACTTGTCATTATTTCTAGCGTCATTTTATTTCTCAATGGTTACTTAAACAAGTTATGATTCTTACAATGTGTACAATATTGCATACGCGTATTAGAATTAAAAAACTTCTAGACTAGAATTAAACTAAACTAGAATTAAAAAGGTTTGAGGAATTGATAACGACAAAATATATGCACTCTGAGAACTTGTTGCTTTAATTTTATTACAATAGTTCTCATCTCACGCATGTCAACACGTACACCCTATGTTTTGGTAATGCGCGTGCTTCGCCTTCGAGCTCTTATTTCCTAACGTCCCTACATCCGGCCGCGCTGCACTTGTATCTGTTCTCAGATATCTTTTGAATTCTGAACTATCGTCGCTAGATGAGTCGCTGTCTCCGCCGATCCACGGTCTCGTATACTCCATTGGCGTAGACGTTCGTTGAGACCCCAACTTTTTCTGCACAACATGGCGATCGTTAGGCCGAACTCCCGTGATTCGGTACAGGCCGAGATATTTTGAATGAAACTTCAGTCCATACCCCACTTGTGTCCTTTTTTATGGCAATCAGTTCGTCTTCCTTATACCGCCTTTCTTCTCGTTTGTCGTCGGATATCGTCTCGGCCGTCCTGAAATTTCCTTTCGATTAATTCACGTTTATATTCGCTTGCAATATGGAGCACGTTTATCTCGTTCACATCACACACGTGCACTCTTTTAAAATTATTTTTCTTTCAATTTATTAATTAAAACGGTGCCCCTAGTTCCGCCGTGTTCAAAAAAACCTGTGCCGATTAAAATCGGTGTGAAATCCCCCTAAGGTTTTGTTACCGCTCGACCAAAACGTATTTCACTTCCACAAAGGCAGGGAGCTCCAATTCGAGTATACTTATCCGTTCCCATTAAGCACATTGTAACATCTATCGTTCGCCATGTTTAAAACCGCGTTGCCAAATCGTCATCGCGACGTTTCGAGCACTTCGACGCAACGCGAACTAGCTCACCGCGCACCGAAAACACTCCACATATTGAAACTTCCGTTGCCGCGATTGTCGCGCCGTCCCGGTGCAAGCCAAAACTCCCATAAAGCACTGCTGCTCTCGTGCACTTCTCGTTTGCCGTTATTTCGTTGAATTAATTCACTCGAAGATCCGCTAATAGTGATTATCTGGTTTGAGAAAATGGTAACGACAAAACATTCAGGATTAATTATGAATATGAATGTATGAATTCTTTAACTGTGAATAACGACCCTTCGTTTCAATTGAACGCTTTCTCTTTCGCTTAGGGAAAGCGACTGTTACCGTTAGAACGCAATAGTTCTTCCCCCCTCTCTCTCTCGACATACACGCAGCATATACACATGCACACTGCATGTTTTGGAAATGCTTCGCCCAACGTACAACCGACCCACCGCTGTCTTCGAATTCTTTTTCATTTTCTAACGTCGTTGCAGTATTATTGATTTCAATACATGATTGATAATACACACCTGCAATTAAGAAATGATCTGTGATGACACCAGCGACAAAGAACAAACTATTTACTGATGAAATTTACATTGCTAGATTTACACGTGAAGAACATGTACATTTTTAATATATTAGTAGATATATTTTTAATATATAATATAATATATATAAGAATTTTTAAGAATATTCTTCAAAAACAAAACAATATTTCTTAAAGAATCGTTTAAGAAATAACATTTCAACGTTAAATTCGCGCTTCGTAATCAATATTATATTATATATTGATACACTTTCAACTTTACACGACGAAACGAGTTCCACTGTTAATTGAACAATCAACAAAGTAACTTACCCCAACAGACATACTAGTTGCCGTCCGCCGCAATATAGACACTCTAATAACGTCCACGAATGGAATTTTTAAGAAAACTTTAATTAAAGTTTGCATTGTCCAAACCTAACTATATATATATATATATATATATATATATATCTCGTCCTTCATGCTGTGTACACAGTAATCCTTCAAACAATTCGCAAAAAATATTTCAGGTTATATTTAAATAATTCCACTCTTATAAACAATCACAAAATGAACTCCATTTGTAAAAAAAAGCGCATTTGATATTCGTAAAGAAAGTGAGCTACAAAATTATAGCTTTGATTCCGAGAAGGTGAACGTGATCTGCGAAAGTATGAATTCAGATTTGGAAAACCTGTACGATTATTCAGTATTTATTCACACGATTCCGATACTGAGAGTATAATATGCACTTATTCGTATTTATTTTAGGTAAAGCGGTCGATTTGCTATTTATAAAAACATTGCTTCAATTTTGGTTATGTCTCGCGAGCCGTTAGTTGCCCGTGCCTGACTTATATGTTGAATGTCCAAATATGTCCACGCAGTTGCTGCAGAGAATTAATCAGCGTCAATGGACTTAACTATATTTATATACATACTCTTTAACTATATTTTTTATCGATATTGATGACAGAGGCGGTTGTGGTGCAGGATGTGGTCGCCTTCGGTGGTCACGGAGTCCGGATTTTCGCGACAATTTCTGCCCAGAAATGTCGCGAACGTACGGCTTTTTGCCAACATGGCCGAAAAGTCGCTCCGCTTGCGAGAGTATTTCCAGCAAATGAGACACGTGCGAGACTTTTCGTCAATGTGAATTAGCATGTGTGCTAAAATTCTGCGATCTCCAATTACTTCACCATATCTCGGACATACTATGGAGGACCTCTTTGTAATGTTTGAGCGCCATTGCATACAGTAGCAGACATACATGTAAGTATATACATATACAATACATATATATAAGTATATAATTTTGTTTAAAACTGGACTAAATGACTTGAATTTTAGGTTATGTCTCGCGAGCCGTCGGTTGCCCGGGCCTGACTTACAGAATGCCCTAACACGTCCACCCAATGTTGCTGCATAAAATTAATCAGTGTCAATGCTCTTCTGTTTTGCATACCGGCACATCCCGAGAAACGTCCTTAACTGTACTTTTTACAGATCCTGATGGCGGAGGCTGTTGCGGTCCAGGATGTTGTCGGCGCCGATGGCGGCGGAGCGCCTTTTCCTCCGAGAACTTTTTCTCGCAGACATCGCAGGCGAACGGCTTTTGACCGGAATGGTCGAGAAGATGTATCTTCAAGCTGCTGAGCCTGCGGAAGTATTTCTTGCAGATGGGACATGTGTTCGATTTCCGGTCGTTATGCATCAGCATGTGTGCCGAGAATTTATAATCCCGGATCAATTTACCACACTTCGGACACGTGACGGAGGACCTCCTCGCGATGTCCGAGTGCCATTTCATGTGTCGGTCCAGGGTCACCTGGGACTCCAGGGTACGTTTGCATCTCTTACATTGGTACGGCTGGTCGCCGTGGTTGTTCGCTATGTGACTAACGAGGGCTCTCTGATCCCTGCAGACGCTGCCGCAGATGAAACACTTCGTGACGAGGTGGTCCAGTTTCATGTGATGGGTCAGGTCGCTCTTCACCTTGAACTCCCTCGGGCAGATCTCGCAGACGTACGCGTACTTGTCGGTGTGCTGGCGAAGAATGTGTTCCGTCAATGTCCTGCTGTTTTGGGTCTTGAAGTCGCACTCGGTGCAAGGGTATTGGTATGTTTCCACAGGCGCGGACACCGGCAACCCGTGTTTCTCTTGGACATGCAACATTATCTCTGTTTTAGTGCGGAAGAACTCGGTACAAACGTTGCACGGATACTTGTACGACATCATGTGGCTGCGGAGATTGGACTTCAGGTAGAACACCTTGCCACAACGGTCGCAATACAGAGGCCTGCAGCCCTTTCCATTGTACGGCTTCTGCGCTTGATGCGACGGAATCGCTTCGGATCTTGCGGCGGTGTCGTCTCTCGAGTTAACAGGCGGCAAATTATTTTCGGAGTTCGGGATTAATGGTTCCGACGATTGCTGGTGACCGCCCGTTTGCGCGCAGTCTACTAATAGGTACACGTTTTGCATATTCCACTGGCAGAATTCATACATATTTTGAACGTCTCCGAAGGGATCCAGTGAGGAACTAAAACAGAGCAAAGTGCGTTTCGTTGAGATGTGATGTACTGCGAGAACGTGCGTGGTTTTACATGGACAGTCGATTTGATATCTTTTAACAGCGAGCTGCTCGGGTGTGTACAACAATCGAGATATTTGGGGATGTTGGAGAAAATATTTCGAACGTTTTTTTAGTCAAACTTGTTCTCTTTCGAACACAAATATTACAATTATTCTTACAAATCAGAATGTACTTTTATACTTATCGTTATTTCCTGTGTCATTTTATTTCTCGATATTATTTAAACGAATTAAGTAACATTTCAACTTATTTATAACAAAGTGATTGTCGACGGGCGCCGCCATGCATAATGCTGACCCCCATTTTCCTCTCAATTAATCATTGAATCAGTTCATTATTGAAGTATTTATAAACATGCGTATATTTAGACTGCTATTTAAAATACATTCTTTTTTTTACATTTTACTGTAACATTACGGAAACTTATCCCGAAGTACACAAAAAGGTACCAACTCTGAAAACGTGTTATGTTCGCATTGGGTTCGGCACAGCTGTCACTTTCAAAAACCTAACGTAATGTGATCGATTAGAATACTATAGTTTTATAATACATCTATTAGAATACTATAGTCTTATGATACATCTATTAGAATACTATAGTCTTATAATACATCTATTAGAATACTATAGTCTTATGATACATCTATTAGAATACTATAGTCTTATAATACATCTATTAGAATACTATAGTCTTCTAGTACATCTATTAGAATACTATAATCTTCTAGTACATCTATTAGAATACTATAGTCTTCTAATACATCTATTAGAATACTACAGTCTTCTAATAGACGCAATGGCTGCAGGGAATTAAACAATGTCAATTGACTCTTGTTTCACATGTTCGTAGGTCTCGATGACGTCCTTAACAATGTCTTTGATCGATACCGGCGGTAGCGGCGGTTTTGGCCCAGGATGCAGCCGCTTTCGGTGGTCACGGAGTCCCGATTTCCGCGCCAACTTTTGCCCGCAAATGTCGCAAACGTACAGCTTCTTGCCAGCATGGGCGAGAAGATGTAGCTGCAAGTCGCTCTGCCTCCGGAATGATTTCCCGCAAACGGAACACGTGCTAGGCTTTTTGCCGCTATGCTTCAGCATGTGTCTGGACAGGTTGCAATCACGGATCAGCTTGCCGCATTTCGGACACGGTATGGAGGCCCTCTTCTTCATATCCGTGTGCCATTGCGTATGCCGGTCCAGCGACTCCTGGGACTCCAAGGTGCGCTTGCATCTCTTGCATTGATACGGCTGTTCGCCGTGCTTGCTTTTCACGTGGTTGACCAGCGCTTTGTGGTGTTTGAACACGATGCTGCAGATGAAACACTTCGTGATCAGATGGTCCTGCTTCATGTGCTCGGTGAGGTCGCTCTTCACCTTGAACTCCCTCGGGCAGATCTCGCAGACGTACGCGTACTTGTCGGTGTGCTGGCGAAGAATGTGCTCCGTCAGTATCGTCTTGTTCCGGGTTTTGAAGTCGCAGTCGGTGCACGAGTACTGGTATCTCTCCACGGGCGCCGTGACCGGCAGCCCGTGTCTCTCTGTGACGTGCAGCATGATCTCCAGCTTAGTGCGGAAGACCTCTGTGCAGATGCTGCATGGATACCTGTACGACATCATGTGGTTGCGAAGATTGTACTTCTGGTAGAATACTTTGCCGCAACGGTCGCAATACAGAGGCCTGCAGCCCTTTCCATTGTACGGCTCCTGCGCTTGATTCGATGGAATCGCTTCGGATCTTGTCGTGGCCGTCTTCTCTTTCGAGTTCGGAGACGGGAAATCATTTCCGGAGTTCGTGATTAATTTTTCCGACGATCGGCGACCGTCCGTTCTCGCGCAGTCTACTAATGTGTACACGTTTTGAATATTCCACTGGCCGAATTCGTACATATTTCGAACGTCTCCGAAAGGATCCAGCGATGAACTAAAACAGATCAAAGTCCGTTTCGTTAGATTGCGATGTACCGAGACGGTTTGAAATCTTTTAACAGCGAGCTTCTCACGTGCGTATAACATAATAGGGATGTTTAGGGATATTGGAGAATATATTTCGACACTTTTAGTATAACTTGTTTTCCCTTACCTATCGGACGAATATTGAAATTCTTATTAAGTTATATTAAGTATTTATGCTATATTAGTATGAAGTATTTATATTAGTGTAAGTGTTTATACTATACTACTATATTATTAAGTATTATACTATATTATATTAATTCTTATTAAGTATTTATATACTTATCATTATTTCTAATATCATTTTATTTTTCAATATTATATAAACAGATACATATACATTATATTTATACACCATTTCCGGATTTCGAGACATTTTTGGGACACCCTGTATATATAATCTATTTATATTATATATATTATATTTATATATATATTTTTTTAATTATATACATACGCACATATATATATATATATATATATATATATATATATATATTTATATATAATATTATTATTTATACATATATTTATATATATATATTTATTTATTTTATATATATATTTATATACTGGAAAACCCACACAGAACTAATTATTATTAACTTTAAGACATCAATAGTTACATTAAAACATTTGTCGCCTTTTTGATAAAGTAAATCACCAATATTTACCAATATTATACCAATTATTTTGAACGGCACTTATTGAAGAACACCCAGTACACCTGTAAAATTTATTTTTCCAAATCATCCAGAAACTATTTGTTCGGTTTTCACCGTGACTCGCGTACTTGCTGTACAAAATACTTTCAACTTTACACGATGGAACGCACTTCACCATTTCAGTGGAACAATCAACAAATCAGCTTACCCGTGCCGTCCGCCGCTGGATGAACTCTCTAATATAACACCACGGAAAACCATACTTTTTCAGTCGCATAGGATTTTTATGAAAACTTCAATTGAATCGTCGTTGACGGTGGTACGGACGACGGTATAGTGAGCCTTATCTGATCATCTGGTGGTGGCTTGCATAACTTCGTTCGATTGTCTTCATTCTACTTACACAGTAATTCTCGAAACAAAAATTGCAAAATATATTTCAAGTTATATTTATACATATAGTTCACAAAATGAATTGCAAATGGTGCAAAATGGTGCATTTGGAATTCGAAAAGAAAAGTAAACATGATCTGCAAAAGGATGAATACGGATTGGGGAACCTGTACATATCTCACAGACTGTTGGTCGAGTTACGGTGTTAGTTGTATTAGAAAGACTGATAAGTTTGATGATACCCCATGGCACTGTGGGTAAAATATGCATTTATTCGGTTTTACTTTATTTACAAAGGAAGATTGGTAGGAAAGCTAAACAATTCAAACAATTTACAATTAAACAATTTGCATAACATAACTTGACATAACCTGAACATGTCTCACAGATTGTCGGTCGAGTTATAGTGTTAGTTGTATTAGTTTAGTCACACGATTCTGATACTAAGGGTATAATATGCACTTATTCGTATTTATTTTAGGTAAAGCGGTCGATCTACTATTTATAAAAACATTGCTTCAGTTTTGGCTATATCTCGCGAGCCGTCAGTTGCCCCTGCCTTACTTATATGTAGAATGTCCAAATACATTCACGCAGTTGCTGCAGAGAATTAATCAGTGTTAATGGGCTTAACACTGAACTTACGTCGAGATTCAGTGAAATAGTATGAGCATCAGAGGGTCGTCATAGACCCTAGGAACGTAGCCACAACCACATGGCCCCACTCTGCTAAGAAGTTTGCCTTTGTCTGCTGCGAGGACTGTTGAACATCTCTGGTCTACACTGACCCCGGGATAGGAAAATGCGACAGAAAAATGCAGGACGGACGGCAGGGTGCGAAAGGGAGAGCCGGAGGTTCGGAGCCTCAATGAACTTGCGACATCTCTTTCGCTCCTTGCCCCCGATTCCTGATTCCAGATCAGTTGTAGCAGCGAGAACGTCGCGAGGAAGGCGTAGTCACCTCGAGGCCGTGTCGCGAAGTTTCCCGCGTAATGCTTCTCTTGCGAGAAACACGGTGCTCTCGCGGTCGCGAGTGGCGACGCCTATGACTTTCGAGTTATTTGAACTCCTCGACTCCTGTATAAATTTTTATTTTGCATACAAACCCGCGGGTTTATACTACAGTATAAACGCAATAATATACTACAGCGGAGTAGCAATATTATATTAAAAATTGTACGATATTAAATTTGTATTGTAATGCACTTGAAATCATTTACTACAGACTATTTATTACAGCTTCCACAGAAAACTGCCGGTATAAATGTTTGTATAAATGCCCGAAACTCTTGAAAATATTCGGTTGGCAGGAAAAGTAAAAATGTTTTCCAGTTTGTTCGACGATCTTTTGCCATCTTTCTGGAAAACTTCACGATTCCGCGCTCATGAAACTTCCGGTACTTGTCAGTAAAAGACTCAATCAAGTGCGATTTCGAGGCTATCGTTATTATTGAAACTTTTACCATTTAAAAAGTTTTGTAAACTTCGAAATGAATGATAATCTGATGGTACAAAGTCGCGGCTATATACATGGTGTCCCAAAAATGTCTCGGATCATTTGAAGCAACTTTTTCCTTTACAAAAATGTTGTCCGAGGCACCGTTAACGAGTTATTAAACGGAAAACACTGGCCAAAGCTCTAGGCGGCGCGCGGCGGCCGAGCCAACGAGCGCGCGACGCCCAGTTCTGCTCATTGGCTCGGTCGCCTCGCGCCAGTCGAGCTCGTCTCTCATTGGTCACAGTTTTTCGTTAATAACTCGTTAACGGTGCCTCGGAGAAAATTTTTGTAAAGGAAAAAGTTGCTTCAAATGACCTGAGGAATCCACCACATTCGGATTGCGAGACATTTTTGGAACAATGCAATACCAAACGCTATCTATTGGTGCAAACCGAAATTACTTTCTTGCCAATCCAATAGCAACAGCACTGTCTTTACGTTCCACATAAATCGTCGCGAGTCAATCGTTATTCACGATCGTCTTCTTGGTGCTGTATTTCTTAGTGAACTCTTGGACGATGTCCTTGACCGACATAACCGGAAGCTGCGGCAGTGGACCCTCGTGCCGTTTGCGATGGCAGATCAGTCCTGGCTTCTGCGTGAAAGCCTGCCCGCAGATGTCGCAGATGTACGGCTTCTTGCCGGTGTGGATGAGAACGTGCTGCTCCATGGCGCTTTGTCTCGAAAACGATTTCGCACAAACCGGACACTGGTGCGGCTTCACGCCCGTATGCATCCGCATGTGCCTGTCGATGATGGAACTTAAAATCGTCTTGCCGCATATCGGACACACCATCCTCTCCCTCTCCTTGTGCCACAACATGTGCTGGTCCAGAATCTTCTGAGTGGACAGGCAACGTTTGCACATGCTACACTTGAATGGATGTTTATTATGGCAGCTCCTCATGTGATGCGTGAGGCTGTTGTTACTTTTATAAGAATTACCGCAAACGGGACATATCACGGCGGGCGCGTCGCTGTGCACCTGCCTGGTGTGCTGTCTCAGATCAGTCTTCAGTTTAAATTTTTTCAGGCAAATCGGACAACCGTGCGGATAATTGTTGGTATGCTTGCGGGTCACGTGGTCCCGCAACGACGCCTTGTTCGAGGTCTTGTACTCGCAGCCGGTGCACCGGTGCATCCTCGTCTCCGCCGCACCGTGCTTCTCCTTGCAATGCAACCGTAAGTCTCTGATCAGTCGGAATGCTTTCTCGCAGTAGTCGCAGTCGTACTTGTACGTTTTCATGTGCATCGCGAGCTGCGACTTGCGGCGAAACTGCTCACCACAGTGGTCACATTTTACAGGTGCCTTCGGCGTCTTCCGCTGTATTTCGTTGGACTGCGTCTTTTCTATCGTTTCTATCGATCTTCTGGCGCATGGTAAATTATCACAGCTTCGGTTTACAATGGTTTTCCCGGATGTTGGTTCACCGTTTAATTTCGCGCGGCACGTCGACGCGCTCTTCGCTTTGATTTGGCAAAATCGCTTCTCGCTGGCGGTGATCCTCAGAGGATCTACTGCTGAGAAACTAAAACAGAGCAAATCAGATCGAATTCAAAATCAAGCTCAGACGTTTATTTGGAATCTACGAAGGAGTGCTCGGTATTTATTAGAAATTGAGAAATATTATTTATAATATAATATATATTTATATATATATTATAATTATATTATAATAATATTATATAAATACAATAATAATATTATATATTATAATAATATATATATGTATTATTTATACATATAAGATATGTAGGATTGATGTAGGAAAATGTACGTTATAAACGCATGTAACAAATGCTTTTGTAAAAGTGGTGTAAATACCGATAAATACCTGTATTTATATAGCTTAAATTATCATACACTTTCTTCCTCGAATGTTCTTATTTTGATTTAATACTGAAATAACGTTCGATGTGATCAGTTTCTATTTAAATCCTTAATTGCAGAACTTATAAATAACAACACAAAATAATGTACAAATTATTGATT